GAGGAATTTCGTCGTCTGAAGAAAAATCGTCATCATTCTTTTGATTTTGATTCTGGCAGTCAATATTTCGGAAATTTATTTCAGCTGGAGCTTGAAGTTGTGGTCCAGGTAAATTATTTAGGTTTGTGGCATTATCCTCTCCAGAATTTTCATCGGTTTGATCTCCGCAAGCATTCTCTGGTGGAAAATGGTCAAAGAATCGACATTTTCTGCCAGTTCGTTGTCATCTTCTAACATTACCAAAGCCTCGTTTAACAAAAAACCTCTAGAATAATAGAAAAAATAAGAGGTATCCGAATGCCCACCGTCCTACATATGGTACACATAAAACAATCGGGTTGAAACAATACTCTAATAAATTTTAAAACATGTATTTGCGTGTACTATATGTAGTACGGTGGGCATATCTGGGTTAATAGCGCTCACAAAAATTTATTGGAAAAATGGCCGTTAAAGAGAGGTGGTCGTTATTGAGAGGTAATAGATAAGTGAATAAATCGTGTTGATCATTTCATTTAATGCAAAATTATAAGTATAATAAAATTACATTTTCTTGAAATGTTGTTCAATACAGGTTTGTTTTAAGTTTTAAATTTTCGTTTGTAACACCTGAGATTCACATTTTGCTAAAATGTTAATAACTTTCACAGCTAGTTCACGTTTGTTGTTACAAAATAAAAAACTGTGTACATCCCTTAGTTTTGCACATACTTCAGTCATGTTCTTAATATTTGACGTACAACTTTCAGATACTTCAACATCATTTTCACTGTTTGAATCATTGCCTTTATCGTCACTTAGTTCGTTGATTATTTCTTGGATGTCTATATTGGGATTTTCAGTTAATACATTAGAATCAATAGACGCATAATTTTCCAGGTTTATGTTTGGCATATTTTTTAAACCTGAAAAAAGCTGGGCCAGTGGAATTTCATCCTTTTCCTCAAAATCGCCTTCTTGTTCAAGATTCTTGCAGAATCCGGCTTTTGCAAAGCATTTTGAAATGGTTGTTGGAGAAACCTTTTTCCAAGCTGCTATTATCCAAATTAAGGCACCGGTCAAATTGATACTTTTTTCGGCATCTTCGAAACAACTTTCGTCATTTGTAAATGTTAAAAGCCTTTTAATTAAGGATTTTCTGTAAGCTAACTTAAAGCTATTGATGATCCCTTGATCTAATGGCTGGCAATGTGAGGTAGTGTTTGGAGGAAGAAACACTATTTTTACATGTTCTAATGTAAGTTTGGGATGGGACGTGGCGTTATCCAGAAATAAAAGTACTATTTTGCTTTCTCATTTTTTCATCAAATTGTTTTAGCCACGAAGTCATAATCTCTGTTGTCATCCAGGCCTTTTTATTACACTCCCATTTTAAAGGAAGTTTGTTGATGTGCGATCCTTTAAAGCAACGAGGGTTTTTATTTTTCCCGATGATTAACGGATCCTCCTTGTCTCCTTCCATGTTTGCGCAAAATAAAATTGTCAATCTTTGTTTGGGGTTTTTTTACCCGTACATTTATCGCCTTTGAGAGAAAACGTTTTGTTCGGCATTGCAAGATAAAACAGTCCAGTTTCGTCAGCATTGTACACATCTTTTGATAAGTAGTTCTTCAATATCAATTTTAACTTTGTTTTCCATGCTTCAACACTGATCAGGTCGACATCAGCTGATTCCCCGCAAACGGTTTTAAAGCTTATTTCATGTCTTCGACAAAATTTTTCAAGCCATTCATTTGAAGCTTTAAAACTCAAAAGTTTCAAATTTTGGGCTGCTTCCACTGCTTTTTCTTTTAATAAAGGTCCAAATATGGTGATGTTTCTATTTCTCGCTTTACAGAATCCTTCGGTTTTACGAAATTTTCTCTTTTGCTCTAGATTGGAATTTTCTTCAAACAACTTTTGTGGGATTTATTTTTTAAAATGTCGTTTCAATTGGCCGCTTCTAGAGGTGACCGTTTTTTAAAGGTGGTCGAAAATAGAGGGTTTACTGTATAAATTAATAAAAAAGTAGTTTTTTAAAATAACTTATGTATACTTAGAGGTTCAAATAGAAGGCGATATTACTATTTATATGTGTACAAAATTTCATGAAACTCAGTCAAGTAGTTTATTATTTATCGTGCTTATAAAGTGTAAATATATTGATTTGAGAAAAAACTCGTTAAAGTTTCAAGTCGTAAAAACAAATTTTTTTCAATTACAAATAACTTGTTGACTAGTCTGCAATACCCGGACCATATAACAGACCTTCAGCTTCTTCATAAAATTCACTTTCGATCGCCAACTTGTCTTTTTGTGCTTTTCGAGCTTCTTTAAACAGAGATTCGTTACGTCGTTCCTGCCGAGTAATTCGATATTCGTCCCTTTGTTCAGAGTATATTTTGGCTTCCCTCCCAATAATTATATTTAATTTACTCATTATTTCCAAAATGCTACTGTGTCCTTCATTAAATAAACTAGCCGCAATATGTGTACTAATTTCCACTATTTTTAAGCTTTTTAATCGCCAAATAGTGGAGTTGAAACTTTCATTGGCATTTTGAGTGTGGCCCCCCAAACATCTTATTAATAAATTTTCTCGGGATAAATCTTCATAAATTGAATATATGTGTTTCTGAGTATCTGGATGCAATGGCGTTGGATGCTTCATCAAGGAATCCGACCCATTTGATTTAGCTTTTTCCACTCGCACTAACTCTCGGATCCTGACGGACAATATTGGTGATTTGGATGTTCATTTGTAACTTCATAGAATCAAGAGGTTAAACAAGATATTGCTATAAAAATAATCGATTTTTTTGATCACGTGATCATGCGTGAGTTACTTTAATCACGCGTGAGTCCCGTGGTTCATATGTATAGTAGTAGGGAAAAACGCTATTTTAACGGAAGTAGTTAGAATTTCGCTTTAAAATTTTGCTATCACATTCTTAAGATGTTCAGATAACTTTTTATGGAAAAAAAATATCCATAAAAAGAATTACCCCTCTTAAGTGATCGATGTTCTCCTGGGGTATCTCGTTCCATGCAAACTCTAGATTGTGTCGAAGGTCATCCAGATTCTCAGGAGGCCTGGGTACTTGTCTTAGTCGCCAACCCATCATATCCCAGACATGTTCAATTGGCGACAATTCCGATGACCTTACAGGCCAGGGCAAAATCTGTAATCCAACCTGTTCCAGGAACCTTCTTTTTAACTACAGCAGTATGGGGTCTTGCATTATCCTGTTGTGTGGCATTCTGCAACGTCTTCATGAAAGGTACTAACACCGGTTCCAGAACGTTGTCGATGTAACGACATGTAAAGGTCTTTGCCCACTACACCGTTCCATACTAGGACCATAACAGGAACGCGTCATATATATGCCCGTATGAAAGGCGTATTATGCCCGTGTATGCAAACTGTAGATGCCCCGTTCGGATCTCGTTTAGTTACAGTATAAAGTAAATCAGTAGTCTCTAGTAAGTTTTTGCTGTTGCGCCTACCTGCGGATAGTATCAAAAAAGCGACGGTATGGCTATTAGAAAGTTATCTATCAGACGATTGGCAATGATTGGCCATTATTTTGGACGAGGAAGAAGAAGTAACGCAAAAACAGCGACGATGGTACTGGATTCACGATGCTCTAAAAGAACGAAAAGCTGAGGGAGAATACTGGACATTATTTAGACACTTAATTGGTGATGAAGAAAAATTTTTTCAGTACTTTCGAATGTCATCATTTCAAATTTCCTTCCAGGCTCTCTCTTTCCTTTGAGTATCCATATCAATTTTGGATGTTGAAAGTTATATAAAAATTCGTATTTACGAACACATTTCATTAGTTTTTCGTCCTCCATATTTAACAACTTGCTGAACCTGCTGCAGTGTTCTAGCGCGAAAGGAATAGTAAAACAGATGTTTGCGTAACCACGCGGTTGGGCAGCCTATGCACATCGGTGCGTGCCGTGCACCGAACGTTTCGGCACCTGCAAAATATTCCTCCCTGGGAATTGCTGTCGGGTCGGGCATGGCACGGTACGGCGTTAGTCGGTGCCGGAACGGTCCAGTGGACATTGTCTCATGATAATTCATACAAAGAATATTTTTTTGCATGTGTCGATACGGTTACGCTCATAGTATATATACGGTGTAGTGGGCAAACACCCTCTTCCAGCACATATCAGCCCTCAAACTATAACCCCAGGTGTTAAGGCTGTGTGTCGGACACACAGCCCTGTTAAGGCTGTGTGTCATTTGGACGAACTCCAAATGACGTCTTTCCCCTCGATGTCGCACCCTTCTACGACTATCATTCATCCATAAACAAAACCTTGATTCATCACTGAAGATGATGTCATTCTATTGATGAACCCACCCTTGTCGTTCTTGACACCATGCAAGTCTGGCTGCTTTATGTGGAGGTGTTAATGGAAGCCGAAGATAAGGACGGTATGAATGAAGCCCAAAGGAAGAAACTCTTCTGTAAACAGTTGAAATCGACAAGTGTCCGTTCAAAGCTCTCGTCCAATCCACAGCAATTGACCTTGTTGTTTAAAATCGATCCCTGGTAGCCATCCGCCTAAGGACTCGGTCTTCACGTGCGTTGCTTCTTCGGAAGGGTCTTCCAGCAGGACAGCGCATCTGAATACCTTCTTCTGACCATAAAGTCCATATCCAAGCAACTGTAGTGTGGTCTCGATTCAGCCTTCTCCCAATCTCTCGAAATGCGAGACCCACCTCTCTCATATCAAAATTTCGACGACCGACGTCGCATTGGGGGCATTGCAAGGCGTCTACTTGACAGTTTGACAATCAAATTAACTTACAGTGCTAGGAAGAAAATATTGAAAGTTGAGTTCTTTCGGCGGAAACTTTCATCGTTTCTTAGTTGATAATAAAGCATTATTTTACCGAAGTTTCAAAGTTGTAGTTCAAATTTTAGTGGGTGGTACATTTCATATGAAAGTGAGCCTATTAAATAATAAATTAAATAATTTAATAAATTATTATTTGATAGAAATGAAAAGAGGGTTTTAATGCATTCGACTTCGTGTCTTCGAGGAACCATGGAATACTCATCAGGATTATGGTTTGTTTTTGATGAAATGTCAAAACTTGGGAATTTGTGCAATTTAAAAGGAGTTACTGCTGTTACTCCATTAACTGTAAGCTAATTATTGGTATTAGACACCCAAATAGAACTAAAACAACTTTTTCTATTTAAAAATTAGATTGTTTTAACCGCTGGTTCAACTTTGCGATTTGATCCGGAATCGTCAATAATGGAAATCGATGATTCTTTAAATGTGAACTTGGGTGGCGATGTAGTGTGGAAATTTCGACTTGCTTTAAACGACATGATTCAACGTCACGTCACGCAACCATCTGCTAAAACTACAAAATTCGAAACGGATCTTCTCGGACTTTTTAATTATGTTCTTGTAATCGAAGAGTCTTATTTTAATCTTGTTCAACCGTTTGAATTTGGAAAAAGGCCACGACTCCCACCAGGAAGCAATGGATATTTGCATTTTAACACAAACGGCGAATCATCGAACGACTTCGATCCAAATATGGAACCTAATTTCGGTGATAATGTTGAAAGGAATCAGCAGGTTCTTAAAAGAAATTTTAATGGAATTCCAAATGATGCTGATGATAATCATGATCATCAAAGTGGTAGTTCGAAACAATACCAACCTTGTTTGAAAACTGGTTCTTCTAAACGACAAGGTTGCGGACCACATTCAAAACAGCCTGAATTGAGTCATACCAGCGGGAATGGAGCAAACGTTCCAAGCACATCTCAAGATGGTGTTTTTAGTGATCATCGCCGTTTTGGTATTCCAACGAATGTGTTGATTGATATGACAGCGACTATAGGACCAGTATATCGTTTTGGTCCGTCGTCGATATTTTATGTTATCCGTCCATTGGAATTGAGCAATATCATGATTAGTTTATCGCAAGGAATTTGGAATTTCGCCCCGCAAACTGAGCGGAAGGTTTTTAGGAGCTTCTTGGTATATATAATTAAATTTGATTTCATTTATTAATTAATTTTTTTTTTTTTTGTAACCTAGGAAAATCAAAAGACTTTTCTTCTATACAACGTTCTAGGAACTTCGGAATTTCAAGCTTTAGCCCAATTAATGTCTACTAATGACGGTCAATATAACACACCTGCCAAAATTAATTGGTTAAGTACACAAGGAGTTACATACGATCAAATCAGGTGAGTTTCCTATTAAATATATTGATAATTTTTTATTGTTTAAATAATTTTAGGGGATTTTTTCCAAATGGGATCAATTACTTCGTGGATGGGTATCAAATTAGTAGGGAGATTGGCATAAAAATAGCCACGTTGATGATGGAACGTAACGATCAACCTAACGTTTTCGCACGTCCAATTTTGTTTAGGGGTCTTGATATTTAAGAATAATTTTTAAAGTAAATCTTTTTTATTACCTCATCTTATCCGAACAATATTCTTTTTTCCAAACACTTCTTTTAGAATTTTCTCATTTTGATCGCATTTCTTTTAAAATTATTTATCTACGATGTTCGTACAGTTCCTTTAACAAAAAACATTTTAATAAATTATCCTTTTCTATGTTAGCTTAATAATTGTTACGGTTTAATTATTTTTAACTTAATTTTTTTGCATTTTTTTTTGTGCATGTAGTTTATGTCGTATTGTAAATGTGTTTATTAATGTGTTAAATCCTGATCATGCCACATCATCTCCGCACCATTATCCACATCCGATTATGAAATAAGAAGATTAATTTATTTATTAAGAAGTTACAGGTAAGTTAGAATTAATTTAGTATTAACGTTAATTAATGTTATTACTTTCTTGTAAGTATTAAGTTTTCTTAAAACTCCAGTTGCTTAACTAATATGTTTTCTTTTTTGGGTGATTTTTTCAGAGTTTCCTGAAAGAAGGAGTGGAGGTTATAAGAAACCACGTTGGAGAGGTGGATGGAGAGGAAGGAGAAATAATCATCAGTGGTAATTTTTGTTATTTGTTGAATTAACTATTAAAAAATGACTTTTATGTTTTATTAGGGTTTATTTATTGATTAAAAAATACTTTCTGATAAAAACTAATTTCTTACTTAAAAAATTTATCATATTTAATAAAATTTCCTTTATAAGTGTTTACAGGTACACAAGATATCGAATATTACAGTAATTAATCTCCTCAATTACCTTTTAGTGTGTGAAAACTTTGAAACATACTTGAAACAATTTGAAGCACTTAACTTCATATTAAATCACTTTCTGTTAGCAGTCAATTAAATAATGTCCATAACTATAACAACCATTTTCTGAGTCAGTTCTTTTTGCAATTCCCTACTGGGAATTTCATATAACGTGCAATATATGAATGCAGTAACCATAGTTACGAAGCTACTATATGCTTGCACTGTGCCATTGGGTAGTTTTGCATAAGAAAAGTTTTACTTGGAAAAAGATGAGCCGCACGTCTCTCAAGACGGCTAAACCCAATGATTCTAGTTCTAGGTCTTGTGTTAGTTCTAGTGAAAGTGGAATACTAGAACTAACACTAGAACTAGAAACATTCGGATTTAGTCGCACGTCTCTCAAGACGGCTAAACCCGAATGATTCTAGTTCTTGTGTTAGTTCTAGTAATAGTGCTAGTGCAATACTAGAACTAACACTAGACCGAGAACTAGAAACATTCGGGTTTAGCCGCACGTCTCTCAAGACGGCTAAACCCGAATGATTCTAGTTCTAGGTCTTGTGTAGTTATAGTGATAGTGGAATGCTAGAATTAACACTAGACTTAGAACTAGAAACATTCGGGTTTAGCCGCACGTCTCTCAAGACGGCTAAACCCGAATGATTCTAGGTCTTGTGTTAATTCTAGTGATAGTGTAAAACTAGAACTAACACTAGACCGAGATCTAGAAACATTCGGGTTTAGCCGCACGTCTCTCAAGACGGCTAAACCCGAATGATTTTAGTTCTAGGTCTTGTGTGTGAGTTCTAGTGATAGTACTAGTGTAAAACTAAAACTAACGTTAGACCGAGAACTAGAAACATTCGGGTTTAGCCGCACGTCTCTCAAGACGGCTAAACCCGAATGATTCTAGTTCTAGGTCTTATGTTAGTTCTAGTGATAGTGCTAGTGCAATACTAAAGCTAACACTAGACCTAGAACTAGAAACATTCGGATTTAGCCGCACGTCTCTCAAGACGGCTAAACCCGAATGATTCTAGTTCTAGGTCTTGTGTTAGTTCTAATGATAGTGTAAAACTAGAACTCACACTAGACCTAGAACTAGAATGTTTCTAGTGCTAGGTCTAGTGTTAGTTCTAGTTTTATTTCAATAAAAATATGCAACATACTGATATCTTATGTTAACTCGCAAGGCCTTCTAAACCTAGAGCTTCTAGGTCTTGTGTTAGTTCTAGTGATAGTGCAAGACTAGAACTAACACTAGATAGAGAACTAGAAACATTCGAATTTAGGCGCACGTCTCTCAAGTCGGCTAAAACCGAATGATTTTAGTTCTAGGTCGTGTGTGTGAGTTCTAGTGATAGTGTTAGTTTTACTGATAGTGCTAGTGCAATACTAAAACTAACTCTTGACCTAGAACTAGAAACATTCGGATTTAGCCGCACGTCTCTGAAGACGGCTAAACCCGAATGATTCTAGTTCTAGGTCTAGTGTTAGTTCTAGTTTTATTTCAATAAAAATATACAACATAGTGATATATACCTAATAGTCACTAGAAATAACATTAGAACTAGAAACATTCAGACATGTTGCATTTTATGTGGGACAAATTTTCTTGTTTAGAGTCTTTTACTTCCAACTTCTAAGTCAGTTAGGCATTAAAAGAGCAAATTTTCCATTATTACAGTTAATTATCTTCTATTGATTGTTGTAGTCTTCCATTAAAAAAAAGCATAAAAACAATTACGTTTGTTTATTTCGCCAATTTAAATTACAATAACACTTATTTATTATGATAATTGTTTACAGTTCATTTCGACTTACTTAAAACACTACATATTATCTAAAATAGCGAAAGTAGAAAAAGAACTTCACCAAAAAGCCCCCTTCTTGGCACCATTTCTTATTTTAATTCAATCACTGTCATCGTCATTTCTTGCCCTATTCAACGGCCTTCTACTTTCATCTTCGGAACCATAAATAACATCTTCGTCGGAATCATTAATCATCGAAAAGGTTGGGTTATCTTTAGTTATAATTGATTCTAAAACGATTTTTTTTAAATCAATCGATTACAAAATGAGATTTTTAATGTTTACCTTGAATGGTTTTAGTATTTGGAGAATAAACATAGGTCATGGCGTAAACGTAGAAATTTAATAAACCGTAAAAAGACATGAATTGAACAGAACTGTTGTAATGGGTGGACAATTGGGCGACGAAGTTATCTTCCAAAACTCCGATTCCAAATCTTAAAACTGTTATTGTTAAGCTTATCGATAAAACCACCAACATTAGTAGTGTCAAAAATTTTAATCTCATATCGAAAAATGGCATTGATCTTAATTCACTATAAGCTCTTAGTAGTAACAATAGTAAATAGGCGATGTAAATTCCGCAAAATGTAAAAAAGATTACTTTTAATGTCTAAAACAAAACATAATGGCACTGATTTATTTAAATAATCAACGTAAAAAAGGAGATGTGTAAAATAACACATTTTCTAAATCGAGTAAGTAAAATGTTCATATTTTAATTCATAAATTTCTTTTTGATTTTCTGTGATTAGTTATGTAAAATTAATGGAGCAACAGAAGTACAAAAAGGAGGCAAAAATGGATTACATTGCAACCAAAGTATGTCATTTTACTCATCTTTTTCTTAAATAGATGTAAGTGATAAACATGAATCACTAATTATTTCATTTAATTAAGTGGAGTGGTCTACACTCAACTGATACAGACGACTTCCATATACAGGTACGTTTAAATACACTTAACCGCAAAATTAACGCACCGTTTATATATTTCGATTTATTATAATTAAAGTCAAAATTATCATACATTTTGTAAAACATATTAAAAATAGAATACATAAACAGAATTATTTCGATAATAACAATAAGTTTGACTTAAATGAATTGTAGGAAATAAACGAAAACTAAAAATAAACAAAATCATGTAAAATATATGTGCTTTAACACGTATAATGTGGTTTCTCGAATGTTACATGTGGAATATCTTTCATTTGGCCTTCTGTACATTCTGTCACTGGCCTTCTGTTACGACGATCAGAACTTACAAGGCAAAACGAAGCATCAAAAATTGATCCTCCACCGCATTTATAGTTCATGGCCTGCCTTGGTCACGTCGTCTAGCATAATTGTTGGTCTCTACAAATCTCTGCAAAACCCTACCGACCGTTGTATGAGCCACGCCAAGTTACACATTCATCACGATTTAAATTTCGTCTAGCACGCTCCATTATGTATTGCACGAATGACAGTTATCTTATCAATTGGTAAAACAATTAAAATGCAATGCCTACTTTTATTTTAGAAGTGAGGCTTATTTACTTAAAAAACAAGCCCCTCATGAAAAGCTGCTATGATTTCAAAATTAAATAAAGAAGACTGACAAATCCTATACAAAAGGCGTAATTGAGTCAATAGAAATATAGCCAAATTAAACTATACTGAAGACTGTCGCTCTTCGTTTAGCAATTTAAAAATCTTTGAATGTTTGAAATATACAATGTTACTTCATTGTCAACTAAAAAAAAATGGTGATTTTCACAATTACAAAACTAGGAGGGGGGGTGACATCCGACATGATGCGTTGAGACTGACCAGATCTAGGAACGCCTATAAATATTATGGAATAAAATTTTTTAATAGTCTGCCTGGTAGTTATAAGTATTTAACATTTAAAGTTTTTGTAACTAGGATTAAAGATGTTTTATTGCGTAAAGCCGCAATTACAATTAATGTTGATGTATTGTACGTTAATGGATTCAGAAAAAAACCTCTATCCAATAACGTGAAGAAAAACATACCTAGCAATTTAAAAATCAAAAGTTGATAATCGCTTGAAATTGAAGATGGCGTTGGAAAAAGTTTATTTGCAGCATGAATCATANTGCCTAAAAATCTTATGGATTTTTGTTCATCCCCTGAAGCGGAAGTATTGGCACCTTCTTGTCGACGAAGTGAAAAGGTCGCAAAAGCAGTCTTTCCAGGGTTTAGGGAAAGCATATTCGATGCGAACCAATGTTCCGCTTGAGACAGTGATATTGCAGATTTATCGGTTACAGTCTGCAGGTTCTGGTCGCAGTTTAATAAAGTGATATCAGAGAATCACTGATGTATTTAATATATTTATCGGCAAATCGTTAACGTAAATTAGGGATAAAAGGGGTCCAAGGATGGAGCCTTGCGGTAGTCCACTTTCTATATTTCTTTTTTTTTAATAATTATCGTTACATTTTATAATTTGGGTTCTATTTTTGAGATAAGAATCAATTTGGTTTATACTTTTTGCATCAAAATTATACTCTCGCAGTTTGTGGTGAAGTAGTATTTTATGTTGGACGCAGTCAAAAGCCTTGCTCAAATCGCAGAAGGTGCCAATAATATGTTTGCCACTCTCAAAGCATTCAACAAACTTGGCTATTGCAACTGTGGTACTTTTTCCTGGTCTAAAGCCGAATTGGGATGGTGTAAATAGATTATTATTTTCAAAAAAAGCAGTTATTCTGTTTTTTAATATCTTTTCAAAGATCTTTGAGAAAATGGGTAGCAACGAGATTGGGCGATAATTTTCAATGCAGTTGTGATCACCTTTTTTGTATATTGGCACGACTAGAGCTGTTTTTAATTGATCTGGAAATGTACCATCTATTAAAAGATTAATTATTTTTGTGAATGGAATTGTTATTAACTCTTTTATAACTTTTACTAAACTTACATTAAGACCATATACCAGTAACTAGTGTTACCACCTCTGGCTGTTATTGTAGCCTGACATCGTCGTGGCATACTTTCAATTAGACATCTGATGGTTTCTTGAGGGATATCTTCCCATACGCGAATAAGACTTTGTCGCAGCTCGTCTAAGCTGTTAGGTGGTGGATGCTGACTTCTAAACCTCCGTCCCATTATGTCCCAAAGATGCTCGATTGGGTTCAAGTCTGGACTATAGGTTGGCCACTCGAGGACTTGAATATTNTGTTAAGCTTATCGATAAAACCACCAACATTAGTAGTGTCAAAAATTTTAATCTCATATCGAAAAATGGCATTGATCTTAATTCACTATAAGCTCTTAGTAGTAACAATAGTAAATAGGCGATGTAAATTCCGCAAAATGTAAAAAAGATTACTTTTAATGTCTAAAACAAAACATAATGGCACTGATTTATTTAAATAATCAACGTAAAAAAGGAGATGTGTAAAATAACACATTTTCTAAATCGAGTAAGTAAAATGTTTATATTTTAATTCATAAATTTGTTTCTGATTTTTTGTGATTAGTTATGTAAAATTAATGGAGCAACAGAAGTACAAAAAGGAAGCAAAAATGGATTACATTGCAACCAAAGTATGTCATTTTACTCATCTTTTTCTTAAATAGATATAATTGATAAACATGAATCAATAATTATTTCATTTAATTAAGTGAAGTGGTCTACACTCAACTGATACAGACGACTTCCATATACAGGTACGTTTAAATACACTTAACCGCAAAATTAACGCACCATTTATGTATTTCGATTTATTACAATTAAAGTCAAAATTATCGTACATTTTGTAAAACATATTAAAAATAGAATACATAAACAGAATTATTTCGGTAATAACGATAAGTTTGACTTAAATGAATTGTAGGAAATAAACGAAAACTAAAAATAAACAAAATCATATAAAATGATCATTGTTGTTACGAACACAAAGAACTTCTTTTGAACCGTATTTAGGTTATCAAATTCAAATTCAAAGTTTATTGTGCCACATAAAAAATATTAACACTCGTCAGGTACATACATTGCACATTGCACAGTACATACTTATAAAATATTCAAAGTACACAAGACGTACACAGGTTACAGATTAAAATCCGACAGTATAATCTGGTCAGTCAAATATTCAGAGCACGCGTAGTAGGCCTTTTTCTGTAAAAATGATTTAATACTACATTTAAACTTGTTTAATGGAAGCATCTGATTCTCTCTGCTATCTTGTTGTAAAATTTGAGAGACAAACAGTTGAAACTCCTCTGGCTCCTGGAGAGCCGGCAATACTCAGGCACTAACAGATCACGTCCTCTGGTCTGGTAGTTGTGCACATCCTTGTGCGTGATAAATTTATCAAAATTAATGTTTGCTTATAAAATATTTTCTAATATATACAATGAAGGGAAGGTTAGTATATTTAATTTAACAAATGAGTTTTTACAGTCATCTGTATATTTCAAATTATCAAGTATCCTTATTGCTCGCCTTTGAAGTCTAAAAACTCGTTCACTAGATGCTACACCATCCCAAACCAGTATCCCGTAGGCAATAACAAACTGGCACAGAGAGAAATATGCGGTTTTTAACGTAGATGAAGATACGTTTTTGCTCAGAATATGTAATACATAAAAATTTCTACTGAGCTTGATTGCAACATCAGCAGATTAAAAGTTAATTTTTTGTCGAGATTTATGCCTAAAAATCTTATGGATTTTTGTTCATCCCCAGAAGCGGAAGTATTGGCATCGGCTTGTCGACGAAGTGAAAAGGTCGCAAAAGCAGTCTTTCCAGGGTTTAGGGAAAGCATATTCGATGCGAACCAATGTTCCGCTTGAGACAGTGATATTGCAGATTTATCGGTTACAGTCTGCAGGTTCTGGTCGCAGTTTAATAAAGTGATATCAGAGAATCACTGATGTATTTAATATATTTATCGGCAAATTGTTAACGTAAATTAGGGATAAAAGGGGTCCAAGGATGGAGCCTTGCGGTAGTCCACTTTCTATATTTCTTTTTTTTTAATAATTATCGTTACATTTTATAATTTGGGTTCTATTTTTGAGATAAGAATCAATTTGGTTTATACTTTTTGCATCAAAATTATACTCTCGCAGTTTGTGGTGAAGTAGTATTTTATGTTGGACGCAGTCAAAAGCCTTGCTCAAATCGCAGAAGGTGCCAATAATATGTTTGCCACTCTCAAAGCATTCAACAAACTTGGCTATTGCAACTGTGGTACTTTTTCCTGGTCTAAAGCCGAATTGGGATGGTGTAAATAGATTATTATTTTCAAAAAAAGCAGTTATTCTGTTTTTTAATATCTATTCAAAGATCTTTGAGAAAATGGGTAGCAACGAGATTGGGCGATAATTTTCAATGCAGTTGTGATCACCTTTTTTGTATATTGGCACGACTAGAGCTGTTTTTAATTGATCTGGAAATGTACCATCTATTAAAAGATTAATTATTTTTGTTAATGGAATTGTTATTAACTCTTTTATAACTTTTACTAAACTTACATTAAGACCATATATCAGTAACTAGGCC